GGAAATGGCCTCAGCATATTACGACCCATGTGGATCCAAATATCTATTTGAAAATTAAATTTTTAAAGATATTTATTAAACTTGTGTACTAAAATGGGTGGCTGGATGGCTGTGTGATCTGAAATGGATCAATTTCAAAATTGTGGATTAGTTTCCAAAACCCAGAGTTTTAGCCAGTAAAAAAGCTACTTAACAATTGAGATTTGCGTTATGTGTGCATGGTAGAAATTGTTCATTACCGGGCAAAAGATTTATACTAATGCATACGCGACCCTTCGGCGAAACGAGCCTGCACATCATCTGCAAATAACACAGTAATGTAACAGAGCCCCTTTGTAGGGATTATTAGCATAGTTGTAGTCGTATGACCAAAGTTCAATATAGGTATTTCAAAACTTAAAGGATTTTGACATTTAAAAAAAAATAATCATTTAAGTTAACTTTTATTGTGTTATTATTAGATTAACAGATCGCATTATATGTGGACTGGGAATTATCTGCGGTATTATGCATTCAGCTTCTATATGTATGATGTATAGCTTTGTATATGGAACAATTAGTACTCATATCCGTACCCGGATTTGGCAGATAGTAGTCCAAAAAAACTCAAATTTTTTACCCAGTGGAAAGAAAATGTCTTCTTGGTTGATCCCTACTTAAACCCATCTTGCTATATTGATTTTCTTGTAGGTCACAACAGCAATGTAGGTGCAATTGTGTTTCATCCGGAGGCAACACTGTCTTTAGACAACAGCTTGTGTTGCATGGCATCTTGCAGTCAAGATGGCTCAGTCAAGTTATGGAGTCTGGACAGGTAGAATTTGGATTCATCTGGATTTTAAAAAATTCCTCCTCTTGTTGGAGGGGGGGGGGTGTGTTGTTGTCTCTAACTGGTCAAATGCCTGCCACACCAAGCAATCCAAGCCTTTTCTTGCACCCAGCAGAGTGATTTTAAAAACTATTTGTCTTCATATTATGTGAGTTTGTTGTAGCCCTTAGGTCATTGAAAATCAAGTTGTTTTTTTTTCTTCTTTAGAGATTGTGACCGCAGTTTAAAAAGGAATGTTTTATATTTATTTCTAAATCTCTCGTTGAAAATAATAATGCTGTAGTTATTTCGGCTTATCAGTAGCCGAGCTAATAACTAAGGCTAATTATAGATTGCGTTATAACTTGAACTCAGATAAAGCAATATGATTTCAACTATAAATTATTCCGTTATAAGTTATATACTTCTTTTCTATTGCTAGAAACTTTGATTACCATGACTGAAGTTTTCTGTTTCTTTGTTTGGTTTTTGTCTTCCATTTCTAATGCAGAGTGCTTTCATTTCTTAACAAAGAGCTATTCCGAGATCTTCGAGCTCATACGTTCTTGATTTCTAATTTTTTTTTCTTGTTTTGTCTTGTCTGCCTAGACGTCCTTTTAATCATCCTGTCTTTAAATTTTTTTTCAAGACTAAAAATATATTTTCCCGCTATTTATTTACTTCACACAGCCTGGACATGATCCCTCATTTGTGATCCTTTGGGTTTAGTCACTGAAAAGTCAAAGTAGCAATTAGAAAGCTAAGACACTGATTGCATTTCATGTTAAATGATGATATTATCTCCTCATCCGAATTCTTCAGCTACCTAAACGCACCTGATTTAATTATATTTGTTTGTGAGTGGGAGGATAACCCAGTGACTACCTGAAAGTTTATTGATGTGAACTGAGTAGTTAATTTTATAGTAATGTCATTGGAATACAAAAAAATGTATAAATCAAACACACGAAAGGAATCTCAGATTTGTACTTTTCTTGATGGCAAGAAACCTATGAAACATTTTTTTAGTGTTTTACTTATGGGACTATTTCCTTTCTGCTTTATTTCAGTGAGGAACCCATAGCTGACATAGAAGGTCATGCACCTTACAGAGTCTCAAGGGTCAAATACCATCCATCTGGCCGCTTCTTGGCCACATGCTGGTAAGCAGAGATAGATGATTTTTCTTCTGACATTTATTCCAGCAGATTCAGACATGATAAAGTTTTATCCTAAGTGGTAGCAACCAAAGCTTTGATACAAGTAAACAATGAAAACACTTTTATTATGTGTGTGTGTTCATTGTTTTTTAAACTAGAGCAATTTAAACGTAAAGCATTTAAAAGTATTTCTCAAGCGCATAAAAAAGCCTTCATATGTTTTAAAATCTCACTTTTATAATGACCATATTGATTTTAAGAGTGGTTATTTGATTTTTTTCCATCCAGGGAAGAGTGCTGTTAAATTCTGATAGAGTTATATACTGCTTTGACTGAAGTTGATCTAGTTTACACTTTTGCATTCTGATCCTCAGTTTTGACAATTCCTGGAGATTGTGGGATTTAGAGGTACAAGAGGAAGTGTTACACCAGGAAGGTCACAGTAGCCCTGTGTATGACATAGCATTCCAGTCAGATGGTGCCTTATCTGTGACAGGGTATGTATCCGATATTAGACTGATCTTTTTACTGCTACTCAATTTAATGTATTGGAAAAAATTTTTTTATAACATTCAGTAAAGTGACTATTTTAATGGAACAGGTTAAATGTAAAGATCAAAGAAAGTACAACCGGACCAATGTAACTTACAGTAAAATATATGTTCCTTCTTACATCTATTAGGGTACTATATGCATTCAGTAGAGTTTGGGACTAACATATAACTTTCAGTAACATATATATTTCTTCTTCTGTCTATTAGAGGTCTTGATGCCTACGGTAGAGTTTGGGACCTGAGGTCAGGACGGTGTGTCATGTTCCTAGAAGGTCACTTGAAGGCAGTTCTTGCCGTTGATTTCAGTGATGACGGGTACAGAAATAACTCCAATTTTGTTTTAAAAAATAATTTTATGAATCAAAGAATAAATTTTATGTCCTGTATTTATTGAAGAAGCTGTTTTAATATCTTTAAAATTTCTTAAATTTGAATTATAATGCCATCATGTGAATCACTGGGTTAGTTCTGTCTGCCACTGTGTTTTTGATGTCTGCCACTGTGTTTATGCTGTCTGCCACTGTGTTTATGCTGCCTGCCACTGTGTTTATGCTGTCTGCCACTGGGTTTATGGCTTCAACATGATGCTGTTACTGTAACATGTCGATGCAAATTTTTGCCAGGTTCCACGTTGCCACCGGCAGTGAGGACAACTCAACAAAAATTTGGGACTTGCGGCAGAGGAAGTGTGTGTACACCGTTCCGTCACATACTAACATTGTCTCCGTTGTCAAATTTCAGCGTGAGTGTTTAATCGATTTATCTTAATTCAGCTTACAATGCCCTTTTAAAATTATAATAGTCAAGCTCCGTATCAAACTGGGCTATCAGTTTAAACGCACTGGCCACTGGTTATAGTTAGTCTTTCATCACAAAACATATTTTCTTAATTTGGACTTTTTTAAAAGAGATATGAAACCATTGATTTGAAATTCAACTATTGGCATGACCACATTGAAATAAGATCAGGTATATTTTTAAAATCAGTTAGAAAAATAAAAAAGGTTTCATAGTATTTAACAAAGTCTTTTTCTATCAATATGTGACATTGTTGAAAAGACGCCCCTATATTTTCAGCTCATCATGGGAACTACTTGGTTACAGCATCATATGACGGCACAGCCAAGGTAAGTCCGTGAATCAAGTTCGTTCATGATAGGACTTCACCATTTCAGTTCAAGATTTTTAGTTGGTTTTGAGACATTTTGTGCAAAAGAAGGAGAAAAAAAAATGGATGCATGAATGAAGTGATAGTTTTTTCAATGAGAAAACTTTTCTTTTTTTTGTGTTAAAAAGAAGAAAGTGTGTTTAAATTAAATATTATTATTTAACATCACCTGAAATTTTAACTCATGCTCAGTTAAAATTCAAGTTTGTGAAGATTTGTTCAGTGATTTTGTTGGAAATACTGCCCACAAGTTAACAAAAATCCACTCTGACAATAACATTTGTCTAACCACATTTGTCTACCTTTAGTGAATTCATCAGTTTAATATGGAAAAAAATCCATTCAAATTCAGCACAGAATATTCTTATGAAAACATCCTGTCTTGCTATGAAAACATCCTGTCTTTCTATGAAAACATCCTGTGCAAATTGCCTGTCTTGCTTCTGGCATGTAGTAGGGTTACACCGACACCAAAAGCAGCACAGGCATGAGTGGGTTAATCTGAGCACCCTTTTCTTTTTTTTCTTAGTCCGCTCACCCTGTTACCAATATTCTTACCTCCCCAGATTTGGGCACATCCGACATGGGCCCCTTTGAAAACTCTGGCTGGACATGAAAGCAGGATTATGGGCCTCGACATCTCCAGAGATCTCAAATACATGGCCACGAGCTCGTATGACAGAACGTTTAAACTCTGGGTCTCCGAACAAGGCGGTGGATTGTGATACGTGCGCCTCGGGACCAAGGACTCTTTAATAAACAATGCCACTGTTGTGTGTAGTCTGAACCACACCCGGTTTCCTCTCTTTCTGCTGAATGGATTTTCTTAACAAATTTTTGCTTCGCAAACACGCTGAGCCGTCACCAACTTGGAATACGTTGACAAAACTATGAACTGAAGAATAGGTAGATGAAGTGCTCAGAAGATGAAAACAAAAAGAAAAAAAATAGTTGCCCATTTTCAACATTTTAATCAAGCGTTTGATTATTGAGAATTAATTCAATGAAGTAATGCTTGTTACTTCTTCAGGGAAAACAAAATTAAATGAGTTAAACAAGATTGAGCAAAAATAATTGGAGAAAGCTGAACCATGAAAAAAGTAGAAAATTGTTCATGCTGTATTTAAGAGGCCCAAAAAATGTTTACAGTTTTATTGTATGTATGTTGTTGTTGGTATGACCTGTAAAATAAAACTGTTTCTAATATTTTCAAAAGTCTTCAGTTTCTAACATTTATAATGTAGTCTATTTTGGGGGGGGTGTTTTGTGTGTTTTTTTTTTTTTTATGTAAGACACACAAACTAAATAGAATGCTTGTTTTTTTTCATATTCTTTAGAAGTCTGGACCATTCAGATAAAGTTATTCTTTACACCAGAGATGCAAGATCTGAAGAAAGCTTGATTCTTTTTGTTATGAATCGATGCCAGCATTGTCAGACACTGAACAAAAGATGGTTAGAGATCTCAAATAATTTACATATATTGTTTTCTGGATGTAAACTTAATTGAAGTTGACCAGCCAGAAGTGGTTACATTCTTTTTTACTATTAGAGTAACAATTTCTTACCTGGTGCTGGTTGGATGTCCTCCAATTGTTAACTCAGCGTTATAGGAACTTGTAACCAAAAGAGTGCAGCTGGTGTACACCCCAACACACCCAAGTAGGAGATTCATTGTCAGTCACCGCCTGAAACTCACGATTTTCTTCCCGCTTCCACCACAGGATGATGATGATGGGCTGCAGCCGTGTGAATGCTTGTTTAAAACGTCACATCTTGCCCAATTTTTGTTTAACACGATATGTGTTAGAAAAACAAACTCTAAAGAAACCATACGTTTGATGAATCAACTATCTTTATATTTTATATATACAGTTTCATAAAAGAAAACAAGTGAATTTGACTCGCATAATATAAACAATTATACATTCCTGCTGGAAATCACAGCACACTACCCTGTGTGGCTTAACATTAATGAACACATCGACGGCAACCTACTTCAAGTTAGTCGTAAAAAGCAAAATTCATTTGTGAATTTAAAAAAAAAACTTTTTTTAGGATTTACTTATTGACATAGCATGACTTTATTATACTTTATAAATGAATTTGACAAAAATTAAAAAATGAATTTAACAAAAATTACATTCTAAAATTCAGTAGAAAATAACAGGCCTGGAATGTACATTAAAAAAAAATTAATTTTCAAATTTTATAAAAATGTCCTTAAACCTTGCCATATCAAGCCATTTAAAACTATTCAAATCAATTAAATCAGATTTAAAAAAAAAAAAAAAAATAGTACTACACAGAGCAGTAAGAGCAAACCATCCCGACACAGCTATAAATTGGGCCCTCAATGCATTCAATCCAGACAAATATGTCATGGCAGTTGTGGTACAAAATCTCTACGGTACTTCAAATTTCTCTATCACTAATGTAAGACCTTTAGGTTTTGTTAAAGAAAAAATAATAATAGAAACAAAAACACTTTTCCAGTGTAAAATAGGTTATAATTGTGTTCAAATGAACAGCAAGAATCCTGATTAAATCATTTAAGTTTTATTTCCATCGTCATGTGGCCAGGAGACAAGACATCTTAAGGCTGAAGGCACATTACCAATCTGCCAGAGCTAAAATGATGCTGCTGGGTTTTGACAATTGTAAGAAAAAAGAAAGGCTCTAAATGAGTAAAATAGTTATTATTATGCTTTCATGCAAGTGATTCAGATAGGGACCATAGTGAATATCTTAGTAATATTTACATAATCATCAGCAGCTTAAAAAAACGAATCTCTAATGTATAAAGTTTTTTAACTTTATAAAAATCACAATTCTTTTTTTCTCCCAAATTATACATAACAATAATACACAATAAATAGAGCTGAAATTAATGAAAAACTTTGTCCCAGTGCCAAGGTTCTAAGCTTCACATGTGTTGGTGGGATTGAAAGCCTCTTGGAGATAACTAAATAACACTGCTGGCGAAGTGGAACTTGTGCTAGATGGCTGCTCACCCGGCTCAGTGACTCGCAAGAAAACAGAGTTCTGGTCAAGTAGGTAGCGATTTCTGAAATTTGAAAAGAAAAGAATAAATATAAAATATTTTTTTTATTCATAATGCTACCCATTTTAAGTATTTGTATAAGCCCCTTGTAGTAGAGACGAAGTATTTGGATAAGCCCCTTATAACTTAGAGACGTACACATATTGTCCATTCTTATCCACCAATCTCTCCACATCACTAGACAACATGTAGAGTTTCTCCTGCTGTTCAAAGTTTCGGATAAGACAATCGCAGGAACTAGGAGAAATCATCTGGATGCTGCTGCCCACCCTGACAGGGTCTGCACCTGAGGAAGAGTTATAGAGTATTTATTACACTTTACTTCTCCGGGTCTTCTGCCAACATCAACCTCCTCCAATAATCCATACAATAAATTGTACAACAAAATATTTTGATGTCCACAATGAATATTTCTATCCCAAGTGGAGTTTTGTTTTAATATTTCCTCGTTTGTAAAAACCTAACCCTTCATTTTGTGTGACTAGAACAGCGGTTCTCAACCTGTGGATCGCGACCCCTTTGTTGTGTAGGTCAAGTTATGATGTAGCAACGAAAATAATTTTATTGCTGAAGGTCGCCACAACATGAGGAGCTCTATTAAAGGGTTTCGGCATTAAGAAGGTTGAGAACCGCTGGACTAGAATGACCTATCCTGTCTCACAGTAGTCACATTTAATGTGAATAGAATAACAATCCTGTCTCACAGCAGTCACATTTAATGTGACTAGAATGACCTATCCTGTCTCACAGTCGTCACATTAAATGTGACTAGAATGACCTATACTGTCTCACAATCATCACATTTATCGTCACATTTAATGTGACTAGAATGACCTATCCTGTCTTACAATAGTCAAATTTAATGTGACTAGAATGACCTATCCTGTTTCACAGTAGTCACATTTAATGTGACTAGAATGACCTATCTGTCTCACAGTCGTCATTTAATGTGACTAGAATAACCTATCCTGTTTCACAGTAGTCACTTTTAATGTGACTAGAATGACCTATCCTGTTTCACAGTAGTCACATTTAATGTGACTAGAATGACCTGTCCTGTCTCAAAGCAGCCACAGTTTGTCATCCTGGCATATTTTTACCTGTCTTATTGATGGCCAGAATATTGGCATTTATTTGCATCCACTGAATCTGGTCCGTCACAGATGTCCAGGCGAGTTGGTAAGCTGAAATCAATAACATAATATTCAAACAATTTGTAAAAAAAACACATTTAAAAAATAAAACATCAAGACTTTAATTGATAAATTAAAGGTAATCCCAAATTTATTCATAGGCTTTTCTGATGCACAAAATAACACAAGTGTTTCAAATAAAAAAATTTTAAAACTTAATTGACAATAGCAATTAATTTATAAAGTTTTTATTCCATTAAATAATCCAATAAATAAGGGGGGGGGGGGGGAATTGAGGACAAGTCTGTCTACACATTATGTAACAGACATTATGCTAGTGGACATTCGTTACAATAGCAAACGGATATCATGTTAGCTACAAGTAACACTGCAGTTTTAATGTAAGTTTGAGATAAATGGGTTTTATTTACTGTTAAATCAATAACTCACCAATCGGACTGTTGCAGGCGAGTTTTTTCGTGTTGTGTAGGTCAAGGTCATTTCTAGTATATGGTCTGCATGAGCTACATAAGCCTGATGGTGGAACAAATTTTATAGACGGTATCTTTTATAATAAATAACAGTTGGTTGTGAATAAATGAAAAATAAAAATACACAAAATGAAACAACTGCAAAAACCTGAGTTGCCATTTGCAGATAGCTATAAATAAAAACAAGCAACACACAGTAACTCTAATACCTTGAAAACCCCCCAGTTACTTTTAATATTTGTCCAACATTGCTAACCTGAGAAACACTTGCACTCTCCTCTGTTTGAGTTGGAAAACTCAGCGCAATAAACCTTCAAACTCTCCTGACCTGGAGGTGGTAGGTACTCAAGGATGCATGATGGTTCTAAGAAATTAATTTTTTTTTTTAAATGATTAGATTACAAATCAATGCTCAATGTACGATTTAAATAAATCAAAACCATTTGACTCTAGAGAATAAACAAAAACTCTAGAGAATAAACACTCAAATTCACACACCATGTCTACCCCCCTCAGATTCCACTAAACACTAATGCTTAGATTCACCCACCGGTCCATAAATTCCCATTAACTGTCCTTCAGTTTACCCACCTGACCTTCCCACTTCTGTTATGACAATTAAAGCTGGCAGATGTCTCCCAACTTCTTCCTCATCCACAGCTCTGAACCCAAAACATGTGTCTGCACCTTTTTTTATCTGAGGAAAAACAAATAAGTCTCTTTTTTAGAAACTTTTTTTTCATTTCAACGGTGAGGGCTATAAAAAAAGTCACAAGCATGGTTAATCTCTAACCGCACTTGCTAGGTTATAAATTATTCCTTTATCAATTGGACAAAGGTATACATCAACATAAGATAAGATGCTTTTATTGATCCAAATAAATGGTAATTTGCTTTTGATTGCATTGTGCATATTATTTTTTTCGGTCCTGAAAGTTTTTGCCCGAGTTTTTGTTGTTCTCTAAAATCGGTCTGTGTCGATACTATTCTTTTCACAGCCTTAGTTTTGCAACAATGTAACGTATAATTTTTCTCATGCTGTTGCAAAGTATTCTGTGTGTGCAACATCTTCTGTGTTTTCATTATTGCATGAACTGTGCACATGTTTTTTGCACACTGAAGTGAAGCAATCCAAGGGATTGACTTAATTGATTGTCAAAATTTTGCAGGTTGGGTAGTAAAGATTAGAAGCAAATACATTCTAAATTCTTATAATTTTTATAATTTACAGGGAGGGATAACATTGAAAGTAAAATCAATCCATTATTAATTTATAAGAAAAACACAATTTTTAAATAGTATGGGTGTGCTCAATAGGCTGTGTACACTGATAGTACAGGTCCTTTTCATGCACGCACACACACACCTTAGATGGGTCACTTGTTGGGAAAATAGGGATTTGAAAAATAAAAAAAATAAAAATGATGTGTAATTTCTGTAACAAAGTGTTTTGGAGTTTATGAATACCAACCAACCAAGAGCTCATTCCTCTCTTCATAGAAAATTTTACTTTTGAACAGAGAATTGTATATGTAAGTTTTGAATAAAGTTACCTTTAAGAATTGTATTAGCAATGCTTCTGTGTCTCCCAAGTATTCAACATGATGTACATCAGGAAGTTTCCTGATCTATTGGGAAGCAAAATGCAACACAAATTATTTGATGATATTATGGTTTCAGATAACTGCAACTATAGATAAGGGCCTCGTTTGAGTGTGTTCTTTATGTAAATTTACTCCTTAATTTTTTTAACACCTTGATTCTGGACATTTCTTGTGTGGTTCAATCATGAAGTTCATGACCAGGTATTTTGCTTTGCATTTGACAACACAGTCCAACTAGTGATAAACAAAATTTTGAAATGACAAGGAAAGTGCTCTTTAAGATTAGAACATACCAAGTCCAGGTCAGAGGTCAAAGGCTGGTATCCTGTTAACATATCAACTCTCAAATTAATTGGATGACTGTCTCCATTGCCTAAATGTCTGGAATAATAAATAAATAAAAATATGTTGAAGCCAACTGAGAAGGACTTAGAAACTACAGAGGTCGTGTTTACCATATTATTTCAAAAAGCTTTTTATGCAAGTTGACTTTCTTTTTTAACATCTTTGTTATGAAATGTTGTGAGGTTGATCTTGTTGGTGTGCATTCTGTGCAGTGCACCATTGTGTTGCTGCTAGTAAGTTAATCTCTGGCTTAAAAAGGGAGAAGAAGGCACCAGTCAGTCTTGTTAGTAGGCAGAAAGAGCCTTTTTTTCTTTTGCACCCTGTTTTTGAGTTGAGAGTCACTTTTTAAGTTCCAATAATAGTACAGACCTCCTCATGTTAAGCAGAAAGAGAGCTGTACTTAGGGACACAAAACGCATAAAAGAAGATGCAGAGTTTGAGGAAAATACTAAATTACATGATTTTATTATAAATGTTGAAAAGGTTTGACATTTGTGTCCTGATTATGAAAATTAAATAATCCCTTTTTTAAAAAACAGCTTTGTGATAAAAACTTCCAATGTTAAAAAAATGAATTGGATGTCTAAGTTTTTAAAGCCAATATCTTTTTAAATTATCAGAATAACAGAATAAATACATGTATATAAGTCTATTATTTTTAAAATAGTGCAGCTTCTAAACAAGGAAACCAGTTCCCTGAAGGTGTGAGATTTAAAAGATTTAATGTTTAGTTCCCTGGCTTGTCAGCACAAACATGCTGAACACCATCCCATCAATAACTCGTAGCATTTAAAAAAACAGAAAAATACAGCTCCTTCATAACCTTGTAATACTGGCTTTATCTGTAACAGTTAATGGTTTGCAACTAACGCAACACAAACATGGACAATTATGAACTCACCCAACTCAAACATGGACACATTTGAACTCACCCAACACAAACATGGACAAATATGAACTCACCAAACACAAACATGGACAAATATGAACTCACCCAACACAAATATGGACACATGAACTCACCCAACACAAACATGGACACATATGAACTCACCCAACACAAACATGAACACATATGGATCTCTTGCTGGCGACATATCTCACATTTCTTTTCATTATTCCATTTCTGTGTGTCCTTGAACCAATTCCCTGATTTCTGTGAAAACATCAAGATCTATTGTTTCATAGTTCTATAATAATAGGCGTAAAATAAAAAAAACAATAAAAGATACAAACAAACTGAAATGTATAAATATTCTGTGTTAAGCATCACATTCAATGTCTTCTTTTGATTTGTAGGAATGCAGTCTTATTAACCTTTAATGGAGTCTCAGTTTCCTTTTTAAGTAGAACACAATTACAATTTGTATGGTGGCATGTAACAGCTTAGCATGGGTGTATCCAAACAGTTGGAAATTTCGAAACTGGAATCATCAAAGTGTAAAGCACTCAGAAGTTGATAAAGTAACAAACTTTGAATTATTATTATTAGTGGTCTTATATAGGGTGGTGCACCAACCTAGGGCTGGGCTCATCATGCTGCACATAAAAATATTAGCAAAAGAGACATAATCGTGACTTTAAAATAAAATACATTTATGTCATAAAGAACAGCTGTATAACAACAATACAAAAACATTTGTATATTCACAACACCCACCCCTGACCTATTTACATGTCAAGCCAGGGACTGCAGCCAGCAGCATGGTTTATCGGTCAGAGGGGGGAATTAGTCAGTAGAGTTTAAAGTGTAAATAGCTGTGACAAAACCAATTTCCATTTAGCTTACCTGTCAGTTCGTAACAAGTTCTTGTTAGAAGATCTGCTGGCCGGATGAATGTAATTGCTGGGGTATTCATGTGCATCTCTGGTACTTTTAGAAGTTTCGGGACATCCAATGCTACAACTTGAGCACAAGCTGTTAAAAATTAAGCAAATTTTTTAAAACACAGTTCAATTTTTAAATGGGAGCTAAGCCTCTGACAAGTTTTCTGAATGAGACATTTTATGCTTGGGAAAAAAAAAGAGATGAATTATTTTTCCTAAAATATTTCATATAAAATGTGTTGCTAGTTTCATGCGCTTGTATTATTATATAATGTAAGGTGCTGGATGACCAAGTGGCCTAAACTGAGACAATGTCAAGCTTGTGGACAGCAAAAATCTTGGCAAGCAAAAAAAACACCAACACCCTAGGTGGATGGGACTGGTTAACCTTGGATGGCAACTCATTTAAGAGAAGGCAAACTCTGAAATCAAACTCGAAGAGGGAGTCCCTTGGGCAGTACTGTGTGATATTGACTCAATGAAAAGAGAACAGTGAAACTCACAAAAATATACTGCATCCTAGACTAGTCTATTTCTAGTCATCTTGACTAAGTCTTGTCATTGGATCAGATAGAAAAGGATGAGAGAGAAAGGCTGAAAAATTGAACAGCTCTCCCTCTTTTAAAACAAATACAGCTCAAGTCAAGGCTACTACTCAAGTCAAAAATTGCCCTGGTCATCTTCACATATGAAGGACAAACAATAAAAAAAATTATCACAATGAAATTAAGAGATTTAAACAAGTTCTGTTGATATCTGGAGAAATTGATTTTTGTCATTTTTATTAATTTGACCAAATTTTGGATTGGATTAAATCTACAAATCACAAATCAGTGTTGACTCCAAAAACCATGGTTCTTGACAGGTTCTTGGAGAGAAATTTGGCTCGCAAAATTTTTTAAATTATCCTGCTGCTGATTTTTGGCTCTTTTGACTAATGAGTTTGCCGACCATTGGACTAACCCATGAAATGCTATTATTTCTTTCCACCCTCACACCCCAAGCTAAAATGGGCATCTACTGTCTTATACCAAATGTTTTACCGTCACCACTGTCTTATACCAAATGTTCTACTGTCACAACTGTCTTATACCAAATGTTCTTCTGTCACCACTGTCTTATACCAGATGTTCTACTGTCACCCTTAACTTATAGCAAATGTTCTACTGTCACCACTGTCTTATACCAAATGTTCTACTGTCACAACTGTCTTATACCAAATGTTCTACTGTCACTCCTGTCTTATACCAGATGTTCTACTGTCACCATTGACTTATACCAAATGTTCTACTGTCACCATTGTCTTATACCAGATGTTCTACTGTCACCATTACTTATACCAAATGTTCTACTGTCACCATTGTCTTTTACCAAATGTTTAGAGCAAAAAAGTCCTTACTCATTCCCAATGCTAATTTGTGTCAGCTTGACCTCCACCTTAGCATTGAACATACAGTTCTTGTTTTTCTCTAAGGGAATGTTGTATTCCACATTCACTTGCATCTGACCCAGACCTTGACCTTCAGTCACAACTTCCAAAAGCTTTCCCACTGGAACCTGCATAATCAGTAAAAAAAAATCTATTGATTAAATTTAAATGACATTAATATTTCATTGGTTTCATTATTGTGTAAACTTTTAGCCAGTACTTCACAATGCTTGCGGTTATTTCAACAGTAAATAAGCATGAACTATAAATTTTTGCAAATGTCTTTATTAACTACAGTCCTAAATAGCTTCTGTTACTCAGAGAATCTAGAAATATTGTAAAAATAAATTTTGTATTACTACATAATTTTATCTTCATCATTACACTTGCTCTTTAAATTTTTTTTTATAGATATTCTCATTTTTGAGCTAGAGTTTTTCAATAGTCAATAAAAAGTGTTGGCAGTGCATAATAATATAGTTTACTTAATTAGAAAAGTAAAATAAAATTTGCTAGTAGTGAAAATATTAATATTTTTGACAGTAAATCATGAGATGAGTATTTCCTGAATTCTTTTTTTTATTGTCAAGTCAGTGCAAATTTTTCAAAGAAGTTAATTTCTGTTATTTAGGCATCATTTCTTTTGTTTATAAAACAGAAATAAATTTGAAAAAAAAAAATCAAGATTCCAGAGTAGTTAATTCATCTATGTTTTATTGACCTTAAAATTCTATTGCTCAAAAAAAGGTAGTTCTGTGTTAACTGTTGACATTTTTGCAAGATTCTATTGGCTAAGAAATAGTAGTTCAGTGTTAGTGGCTTACATTGTTGTGAGATTCTATTGGCTAAGAAATAACAGTTCTGTGTAAGTGGCTTACATTGTTGTGAGATTCTATTGGCTGAGGAATAACAGTTCTATGTAGTGGCTTACATTGTTGTGAGATTCTATTGGCTCAGAAATAGTAGTTGTGTGTTAGCGGCTTACATTGTTGAGAGATTCAGGCCTCATAGCATTTTCTTCAGTAAACTTGATGAAACGGGAGTAATGTCTTGCCCTGTCAGAGCTGATGTTACAATTCAGGTTCACTGTCAGACCATCCAGTTCATGTTTCATCAACCCATATTTAGTAAGTGCCTGAATGGCCACTGTGCTGTCCTGTAATGAGAAAAAAATATATATATATATTTCCTGTCAAATGTGCTAGCTATGGGAATGGCACAAATAAAATAAAATAAAGAATGCTCATGATAAAAATAAATTGGGATTATAACAAGACAGTGGAACACTTTATATGAAGTAGAATTAATTCAGTTAACATCAATTAGAATTGCACATTAATTTAAAATCCCATAAAAACTAAATACGAGACTGTCCTTTTACATTACCAGGGCTCCTATGAAAGCACCATTTTGATTCCTCTGTGAAATCAGCCAATCGGCAATAGCATCTACATTCACTTCTTCATTATCCAAAAACACAAGCAGCGCATAAGATGTGGCCTCAATGGAAGAAGCTTGGGCCCCCTCACGGTACCAGTATGGAACTTTGTTTCTGTAGTCTAACTCCTTGGTATCAGCCCAGTAGAAGTGGCCTATTTGAAAAAGAAAACATGAAAATTGTCATGCTAACAATGATGGAATTTAAAACTCTTCAAGCCCACTTTTTAAGGACGACATTTTTATTTGGTGGTTTGCTTGGTAATGGATTCTCAAATCTAGCTTTTAACAAACTCGAGCCTGTAGAGCCCCTGATGATGTAATCATCATCAAGTCATTTCTATATCCAAATTGAATCAATGATCTAACCAAAAATATAAAAAAAGTTTTTTTTTTTATAACCAGTAATTGTTATTTAACCCCCCCAAAAATGAAAGAAAAATCATAAAATTCAATTTGAGAATAATATGACAATGCTTAACACTTGCAAATTTTGATCTTCTAAGTGGGACATTTAAAGGTTGCATAGCATTCTATATAAAATTGATAGCCAACACATTCTTCGTTACTTTTGTCTAAACACAAACAATAGCACACTCAGAGCGTTTGTGTAAGTATTTTTTTTTACCTATTTTGTCCCTCAACTTGGCTTGATTTAATCTATCTTTGGCTGTCTGAAAGACATCCCCCTCGGCATCAAACAGTTTCAGCGCGTACGCTGCCTTGGCCAGCACAAGCGGGAGGGTGATGTTTTCCAGGCTATCCTCCAGGTAGATGCCCAGTAGCCCTATCAGATTCTGGTGGTCAAGCTTTAACAAAAAACATAGTTTAAAATATATTATTTGACCACTTTGAAACCCCCCCCCCCCCAGTTGTTCAGTAAGGATAACTATTTCTGTTTATTTATCAAACTACTGGATTTAGTAGGATAGTAAGTGAAGGACAGTATGAAAAAAATAGTGAAATAAGGTATGTTGAAGCTTGAAAATGAAAAGACAGGACCATTGCTTGTAGTTGTTCAATCTAACTTCAGGCAATAATATAGCATTCCTCTCCAACACAGTGAACTCTACACACTTAAATTTTTGAACAGTTTTCTGTTTCTCGTCTTGTCTTAACATACCATAATTAACTATTTCCTTGATTAAGTTGTTTTGAGTCGACTACCAGATCATAATAAGAAACTAACAACTACATTAAGAGTGGAATAGAAGGAAAAGATAAGAGTTATAGATGCCTGGTAAATTTCATATCTCACCTTCTGTGTTCTGTCACATTCTTTTAAGGCAATAAGGACCTCGGCAGACAGCATTATCCGATACTCAGCAGAGTCCTAATGGAAAAAAAACAGCTGGCAAGTTAGGGCAAAATTAAAAATAACTTTTTTTTTCTTCAAAATTTGCACCAAAAAAAATATTTGCACATGTGAACATAAAACTAACTGTTCACTTCACTAATGAAACTGATAAATAATCGTTAAATTTTCAATTATTTTGTTTCATTTTTCCAATTTAAAAAAAAGAAATGAAAATGTGAAATTGAATCAATCGTACGATTGTTTATCAGTTTCATTTTGAAGTAAACAGTGTATTTCACTCAGGTTTTGAAAAAAAATTCTCAACACTAAATTCTTGTTTTACATTTCATTTGACATAAGCTTCAAAAAAAAAAAAATCATGAACATACATATTAAATATAATGACCTGTGCTAATCTCCAGTCTTGCTCTTTAATTACTCCCATGACATTTGTTTGACTCTGGAGCCAAAGAAAGCCTTCATCAATCAAGTTTTCTTTATCAATGAATGTCAGTAATGATGAGTGACACAGTGTCTTCAACACCAGTGTAGTAAGCCTAAGAAATAATCAAACACAAATGTAGTGAGCTTAAAAAATTATAAAATGATTAACGCTTTTGTTTCATATTGCTCGTTTTTTTTAGATTTAATCATACATTACAAGAGTGCCTACATCCAGAAGACAGACCTCTGCATTTCTAGACGGTAGTTACGGAAGGCCAGAAAGTTTATTTAGTCTGACACTAATGTGTTGAAAGGGCTTTTTATGCCAGCTATACAATGTTGTCATATGACCCCACAAGGGTAGCTGGTTCACTCATCTGCTCCATTGATACATTATGTCAAGGATGTTTTATATGACATTGATACATCAACTTAAGCATCTGTGTAGTTAATCTGAAAACTGTGGTGGGTTCTTCAAACAAAGTTATAGCCTAACAATCAAGGGAAATGAGATTGTGTTTGTGGAGGGAAAACTTGGGTGAGTGATCTATGGGAAACCTAGGGGAGTAAATTGGGGGAAAACTTCCTTATTGAAAACAAAATAGGTCAACTCTAAAACATGCTGTTATTTTAAATGTCTGCACATAATAATATTCCTTTTTTAAAATATTAATTTTATTTAGTGCAATTATAATAATGCTAATAAGCTTTGCTGTTCCAATATTATTTTCTGGTCTATGTTGCCATTTCATTACTTTGTTAAATTATGTAAGTGAGAAATGAGAATAATTTCACATGAAATGGTTGACTTTTAAATCACTAACCTACCATGTTGCTTCTTTTGCATCAGGTGTGAGAATGAAAGCCTTTTCTTTCTTGTACTTGAGCAGCCTAGAAACTCCTGGTTAACAGAAAACAGACCCCAAAAAAAGTAAAGCAGAACTAATGGTGAATTATCTCACACAAGATATTTTTTTTTTTTTTACGTTAGGATCATGTTTCAAAAAAGGGGTTAAATTACAAAATCTAAGTAATCTTTTCAAATGTACTTCCAAAATTTACTGAATAAATATAATGTAAAGTGCACAGGTGAACCAACTAAAGTCCTTGGACACAAACCATTTTTTAAAAAAAATATTGAGTTTTACCCACTGAATTATCGGGCCAGGCAAAAGTAATTTATAAGCTAGATTATTAGGCTATAGTATAATATGAAAGAACATGTGAAGATATTTTATATAATAAAGATTTCCGCTAAACAAAGCAGAGATGTTGTAAATATTAAGAATGATATAAACAGCTGAGTTACCATGCCTAACAAACCGGCGGCCCTTCTCTCTGAGTTCATCATCCATGAGTCCAGTTTGGTTGACATACAGCAGAGCATGAACAGTAGGACCCAGGTCACCAAGGACTTCTTCGGCATTAAGGAGAGGCTGGTCAATGAGGCTCTTAGACCGGACAACAGCATGGGTTATAATGTCCCCCATTAAGTCACCTAAAAGAATAAGTGCGAATAGGTTAAAAAACTTACATTTTGATGCAATTAGCTATCAAAATTTTTATATGGTTCAAAATTAATTGAAGACCAGATAAAAAAAAAGTAAATACATAAAAGTAAATAAAAAAATAAGCTTCTAAATTGTATTATAATTTGTCTGATTGATTGCATAGTGAAAAATTGGAATACTAAAGGATGCCTTTAATAATTTTTAAAAAACTAACCAAATGCTGAAATCCGACAGAATTCAGTTCCCTTGATCAACTCTTTAGGCAGTGCCATGTCAATTCTTGTATGCTGCTGCTTATTTTGTAAATCTATCATATCTAGTGGTGAAGATTTCAATTTTATTAATTACATTTTTAGGCTTATACTTTGTGAATGACCAAGCCTAATATTGGAAGTAAAATTTTTTAAAATATTTATTACATTTAAATTAATATAAAATGTCACAAGTGTTCCTTGTTTTCAATCATTAAAATGTTTTAAATTTTTCTTCTGTTTTCAAATCCCTTTTAATTTTTAATTTTTTTTATTTCATGCATATCATTTTGGAACCCTCCCCATATATTTTTTTTTTAAAATCTTCAATTCCAATAAGCCCCCAGTACTTATGGTATTCAAATGTAACAAGAGAAGCAAATTTAGAAACCCATAAATGAGAAACTTACTTTGAATCGTCACAGATTTTGAGAGATACACGTCATGTCCTTTCTTTGCTGCAAAGTTTGCATGTTTGCCTTCAGGGTCCAAAACAAAAGTAATAGTCTTCCTTACTCTTTGGCCTTCAGCCTAAACAGACAATGACAGAGACAAACATTTGCAAGGGTAGAATCAATATTTTTTTTTTTTACAAAATGCACATTCCATATCAAGCCTGATCATTTCTGAATTGAGGGCCAACCATAAATGATCTGACACTATTTTTGCAGATTTATTACCCTTGTTTAAAATTGCTTTCTTACTAATTTATTTATGGAAGTCTAATAACATTTAACTTAAATTCCACACAAATAAGTGAGAAATACAGTAACAAACAAAAAATAATGAAGACCCTGTTGCTAATAAAGTCGCATTTTTGTAGGTCAATCAAAACCGGTTTAGCCAAGTGTACTACATAATTTTGAACACAGTGAAATGTACCTATGTCCCTTATTTAAACAAGCATAAGAATAAGAATGCTCAAAGTTTATAGACAAAAAGAAATTTAAACTGGATAATCTCAAAATGGTTATTTTGTGTACTAAATTCTTCAATTACAGTAAGGTCTTGAAAACTAGAAAAAATTAAAACAAAAATGTTTTCCAATTTCTTTTTTAAAATTCACAAAATTAAATTATTGAAGTCCATTTTCTTAGATTTTCTTTTTATGGTAGCAGGCTATAATGCTGTAGAACAAACATGTTTTAAAATAATACAATTGGGTGATTAAAAATGAATGCTAACTTTTTTCTCTTTTCAATGTGTTAAACTATTATGTTTTACTACTGGATCATATCTCTTGGATAATTATTTTTAAATACTTTTTTTAGCTTGTATAATATTAGACATTCATTAGTACTAATTCAGGATAATATAACGGACATAAAAATATGATATTTTAAAAAAACGTGTTTGCTTACAATTACAAACAGCTTCTTCTCCACCACATCTCTGTCATTTTGACTTTGTAGGTCCACCCGTAAAGTAAGCTCACCATTCTGAAGAGGGATCACCTAGACAACAGAGATGTCACCATCATAGGTGTAACAAACATAAAAGTTACTGTAACCAATAATAACGAAAACATACTATTTAAAAAGTGATGTACCAAAAATATGTGTAATAATGAAACATGTGATAATCAAACATGTACCCCTTTAGTAAAAAAAACATACAGGAGTTGTCTTATAGCAACTTTTCCCTTGTTATATACTTAACTTGAAAACATTTTTTAAATAACAAAAGTGGCTGTGTACTCTTATTTCATTAACTGTGGAGGCTGAAGTTTCATTGTTTGTGTTCAAAATGTTACCTTGACTGTTTCAGTGGCAGCCTGTCCTGAAGGTATAGACATATGAAAGGTAACGTTTTTCTGATTGTTTAAGTTGTTAATCTCCCTTGATGAACTGCCAGAGATACACAAGCTGTCATCCCCTGTGACAACTCCAGTCACCTGTCATGTAGACCAAAGACACTTATCATTGTTTCAGGTAACTCTTTCAACTAATTTTAAAAAATAAAATTCATTCTGAAAGTTTTATTAAATTTATTCTTCAATTTGTTATTAAGTTCATAGTTTGATTAAATCCATTGAGCCAGCTTTTTATTTAATTTATCTATATAGTCTTCATTAAATTGATTAAATTAGTTTAATTAAATAAATTAAGCTAGCTTTTATTTAATTTATATCTATAGTCTTCATTAAATTGATTAAACTAGGTTTTTTTCATTCATTTCACTGGTTTGACTAAATGAATAAAAAAAAAAAACCTATTTGAAAAAGTATAGTAACATTTATCAGTAGCCTACATGTTTCAATAAATCGATTGTGTTTTATAACATGTCCGATATCCACAGCTGGTTATCTCTAGCATTTGATTAGTTTAACCCCATGACAGCCACCAATGTTGTGTTCCACTTACCACCAGTGCTTGCTGTTGGTAGTTGTACACAGCGATCTTGACCTTGACTTCCTCAAGTCTGGTCACCTTGTAGGGCATCCTCACATCAGCAAAGAAGAGTTTCATCACCTGCTGTTCTAAAGGCTGGGACACACAGACCCCCCTGTTGGCTGAAAGACCCACGGCCATAAAGGACCAGGTCGTGATGGAGTCAGGTAGGGTCAGATTAAGGTTCAAGTTGCCAGCTCTGACAGGAAAAAAAATAAAATGATTTGGGAATCGAGAAACTACTGAAACAATAAATGCTCCCTTTTTGATGGTTAAACCAAATTTTGCTTATTACTTTCATGGCTGTGAATTAAAATCTCACTTTTGGGAGGAGTTATCTGAAGAAGAAAAAAGCTTATTTATAGAATTTTGGTATGCAGTGTGTGCATTTTGTGGGGAGAGGGTGCAATTTAATCCCTTTTTTTCAAGTGAATATACGCTAAATTAACTTAACCTGCATGTAATAAAGATTGGAAAGAGTTAGAGAAGATAGCAAGAGACTGGGAGGCTTTGAAAGAAATTTTCAATCACCTATGCTCCATTGGGAGTTGAAAAGGCAAAGAAGAAGAAGAACTTTATATATATATATAATTATATATATATAAAACAAACATGGGAAAATGGGATCTTGTCTGCGTCTTGTTATTTAAAGAAGTACGATTTAGTTCTTTAAGTAGTTAAACGTGTGTGCTGTTAGTGGATCTGGGGAGTGGCCTGGGGTGCATTTTATTATGTACCTGAATTCAAACGGATAAAAAGGGGGAGAGACTGCAATTAGGTAGGGTAGTGCTTCCGGCTGCAACAAGATGGCGGAAAAACAAAACAAAAAGAGCACAATAGGAAGGAAACATGGATTTCAATAGAAATTATTGATCGAAATAGTCCTTTCTGTGGCATATATCCTTAAGAATAACGACAGGATCAGAATCTTTGTTTTGGATACGTAATTTTCCTTTAAACAACATTTTGTTAACAAAATTTCCATTATCACTATCACTATACAAAGGATAACTTCCGGCTACAACATGATGGCGGTATAATAAAACACAAAAGGAAGGAATCTTAATTTCAACAAAAATTAGTTGTAGGAAATAGTCATTTAAGTGGAAAATATACTAAAGACTATTCCTTCTTATAAGGGTGTGTACAGGAAGGGGTCATACTCCTGATGGGGGAAAACATGCTTCTAGAATCAATTCGGCCGCCTTGGTCCTCTTATGTCACTCAACTCTCATCTGTGCATCCCGCAGCTGTTAGCATACAACAGTGGCCATACCCTGGGCAACGGCTTCCATTAGCCGGGTAAACCAGGTGAGGGTAGCTGATGGGCCTCAAACCCTCGGTGATTTAGGACTGCCTACCCACTGCATGCAAAGCCTGGACGTTAACACATCCTGCGGAGGAGACCATTTAGGTTCAATTTAGGAGATGACGATTACAGCAATGCACCGTGGAGTGTGTAGAGCAGGATGAGGTACGTATAACATCTTGGTCATACACTGCATCCGTATCCATCTCCGGTCGTCTTGACTTTGTCTTGCCACTGGACATTGTGGGTCTGGACAAGAGAGTGAGGTTGACGTTGCGCAACTCTTCCTCAATTTAAACAAAGTCACCAGCGCAAGTCATCAGTCATCCATTTGTTTACCAGATGACTGGATGGTCCTAGTCAATTTTGACGGATGAACAACAACAATATATATATATATATTTAACCCCACCAATAAAAACAAACAAAAATAGTCATATTACCACACCAAGCTTAGCCTAAAATATGCATTCTTTATTGTGAATATGTTGTGCATGTGGCCCACCTTGTCAAAACTTGCTCCTCAAACAACCAGGACTCTGGAAAATAATTTCTAACTGTCTGAGGCTGAGCATAGGTGGGAAGGTCTTCATCTAACATAGCTGGGGGGAAAAAATGAATGATCAACTGAAATGCAATAACACATAATGTAGCTGTATTTTTGAATACCCTTTCTGTAAATCTGACCGGAATTTCTTAGCATTTAATATTTACTGTATAATTCTTTCTATTTTATGCGCTGAACAAAGACTATAAGCCATAATATTTCACTTCAAAAAATAAAAAGCTCATCTTAAAAATATAAAAAATTATTTTATTATACATGTTAAATCTGCACACAAGGAAACAATGATGGTTTGATCAAATGTGAATCGGCATCCTTCCGTCTCGTGAGACGATGGTGCATCACCGTTGGGTTGGGTTGCATTTTCTCGAGTGGCTGTGCAGTCCGATCCTTGAGTGACAGTCTTTACCACAGTTTTTACACACGAGTTCCGTGCTTCTAAATGTTTTGGCCTTTCTCCTAGCTCTTCTGTCTGTAGCCTCTTCCATTCTTCGCTCCTCGGCTACCATGACGCCCTCTTTGACAACTGTGCGCCACGTAGATCGGTCTTTTGCCTTACACTCCCAGTCACTTGTATGTATTTTGGCTGCTTTCATGTCCCTTTGACAGACATCTTTAAATCGCAGACGTGGGCGACCTGTTTTCCTCTTTCCCGAAGCAAGTTCACCATATAGGAGGTCTTTCGGAATGCGGCCGGGACTCATTCTTTTAACATGACCTAGCCATCTCAGGCGTTTTTCACTAAGGATTGTGAACATGCTTTGGGTATTCGCATGCTTTAGGACCTCACTATTAGTCACCGCCAATAAAGATCAAATGTGACATATTTTAATTTGAGTGATGTATTCTTAACATAAAGTCCTGGAATTAGAGAAATGCGCTTTAAAGAATACTTGTCAAATTTTGATAACTTACGTGAAAATCCATTTGTATTCATGGATTTTCCTTCTAAGCCTACAACATGGCTAAACAAAGGTTCATCAAGGCGTCCTTCCATTGGGATCTCTTTGTTGTCCACAACCATGTGGTGAAGGCCAGAGTTCTACCAGATCATAAAAAAATAATTTTAAATTAAAAAAAAGAAACTTTTTATTCATTGGTTACATGAAACTGAACTTTTTTCCTAAGTTTTTAAATTTCAATAATTCAATTCTTCAATTAACTTAACATTTGAAATATTTTATTTATTGAAAAAATTTACACTTTTCTCTATTGACAATGCATAGCAGAAGTATCAAATAACTACTTAAAGTATTAAATACATACCTCCAGTATTAAATACATTAAATACAAAAATACATACCTCAAGTATTGTCTTGTAATCTTGGCCATCTCCACCATCTTTGCCTTGATCATGGCTGTCAAGCTGTCTGAAAAGCTGTAACGAATAATGAAACAGTCTTTGTTCTTTAAACTTCTCAAAGTTACCGAGCTTGTCAACATAGAGTACAGCCTTTAAATCAGATTAATGTTGAACACCTTTTTTAAAAATAACCTTACCAGATACTGTATTTATCGGAGTATAACACGCACCTGCGTATAACACGCAGCTCATTTTAAGAAGGAAATTTCAGGAAAAAAAAACTTAACATTATATCAGCGTATAACACGCACACATCATTTGCTCCCTATTTTCAGGGAGAAAAAGTGTGGTGTTATACGCCGATAAATACGGTAATTAAGTTTTGGTTTTATTCGGTGCTGTTTTCAGTCTTGTTTCCAAGTTGACCCAGTTTGGACTGCAGTCACAAAATGTAATATCAATTCAGCCCAGTTTTCAGTCTGTTTTCCAAGTTGACGCAGTTTGGACAGCAGTCACAATATGTAATATCAATTCAGCCCAGTTTTCAGTCTGTTTTCCAAGTTGATCCAGGTTGGACTGCAGTCACAAAATGTAATATCAATTCAGCCCTGTTTTCAGTCTGTTTTCCAAGTTGACCCAGGTTGGACTGCAGTCACAAAATGTAATATCAATTCAGCCCTGTTTTTAGTCTGTTTTCCAAGTTGACCCAGGTTGGATTGCGGTCACAAAATGTGATATCAATAGTTGATATAAATCTAGATGACCTCATGGAGACATCATAAATAGAGATTGTGTCAAAGTTGATTACATTAACATTTGTTATTCCAGTCTATATATTACTTACACCATGCACAATATTGAAGTCTATGTTATTGTAAAATGTGTTTGATTTTCCTGTACCAGTTTCTTTAAACAACTTAACACTGACTTAATTTTTTTTTAAAGATTTATTTTAAAAAACTAATAATAAAAAAAATTATTCATCTTTACCACTTGACGATTCAGAGTTTGTTTATCATTCAACAAATAGACAGACTTGTCCACAGCTACAAAGCCAACTCTCATGCTAGGTCCACCAGAGACGTGCATGTTGAAAGTGTCTTTTGGCCTGAGAGGGGCATTGGATAGACCTCCAGCTTTGAAGAGGCCTAACTATTTAAGGATGCAGAAAAATAAAAAAACTTGATAGTAGTCAGGTTTTTGAATGTACAACATTTTCTAGCGTAAAACAATATTCTACATCTTCGTGGGGCAATGCAACCATGTGGCACATGTAAAATACAGGAAGAGGGGGAATAATCTATAATAACAAATCCAAATGGTGCTCCAGATATCCACCAATGCTTAGTTCTATCCACTCTTTATAGCCCTAATAGTTTACTAAATACCTTTTAGAAATGTATGCATAAATAAATGTGGCGCTGTAGGCCACACTGTTCCAAAAACAGAGCATTCACCACCCAACGCTGTCATGGAATTTGACCTGTGGGTTAGGTTATCACAACATGACATAAATTGCTACTCCTCCACCACTTAAAACACTTAAAGATAGGTAACCATTATGTGTGCATTTTGTATAAGTTCAATAATTTATTTCTCTGAAACCCTAGGGTAATTTACTATGAATTATATCTAGTTGGAAAGGGGATTTTATTCTCTATACCTTAGTATATTTGCAAGTCTACATCTTTGAAATCTGGTTGGAGTCTCTATAGATTCTCATTTACCACAGTAAATCTGTCAGGAGTCCAGTAATAGACAGGACTGGTTAATGTTTTATGTAGTAGCTCTCTGGGATGTTCGAGATACCCTATTTATAGTGAGCGTGCCAATGTGTTTTGGCATTCAAAGTTGCAATCACATCCCTAAAGTGTCCCATTGTTCACTGGCAAATTTGGATGCTTTATAAGTATACGCAAATTCGCCTTTATAGTTTGTTTTTGTAGAATGCAATTGTCAGGTTTTAGTAATGGAGGATTTCTGTTCATTACTTATATTAGGCAGTGCTTAAATCACTTGTTAGTTCCATCAACGTGACTTGCATCTATGATATTGTGATGTTTGAAAATACAGACGACCACTGAATTCTTACATGGAATTAGATACCAGTGTATACGTTAGCATAACACAAACCGCTATATCCTTCTGGTTACACATACTGCAATGTGCTTATAAGTGATTGATACAAAAGTTTCCAACCAGCCAATATATGTCAAATATGTGTAGTAGGCTAGCTATTGTGCTACATTCTTACATAAGGAATGGTGCATGTGTTAGGATAATATTACCATCCGTGTTAAATAATAAATAAATAAATTCTGCAATGTGCTTTTGTCCAATAAGACACAGGGATTGATTAATAAGACAAGTATCAAACTAATAGCTGTTATACTATAAAACATTATAGCAACTTTCCTGCTATGGCTGCATCTTATATAAACATCATACATGGTTGACAGTACAGTCAAAATTTCTAGACATGTATGCTAGCCCTCACATCAATTCTGAATATTAGACAGTGTACGTGCCGAAAATGAAACACTGCTACGCGATTTCTTTTATAATCAAACATTATTATCAGCCCATTTTTGTCAAAGGTTTTCCAAAGATTTTCTTTACCACTCCTGTTTATAAAATACTGATAAACCAAATAAAGGCTATAGTCATCAAGACCTCATTGAGTTTGTAAACCCATATATTCTATATATATATATATATTATATCAAACTCAGCTATCTCCTCACCACTCTACTACAGTTTTTTGCACTGTGAGCAGAGTAAAATTGTGTCAAAAAACCAGCAATGGCAGGCACCCACTCTTATTGGAGAGTGTGTTCTTTTGTGTGCATTTCGTGCATATGAGAGGGGGGGGGGGAATGAGAGCGCTTTACGGTGTGTGATTGGGGTGGATAAGTGAAACGTGTTCTGTGATTGGTTGGATAAGTGAAACGTGTTCTGTGATGGGTTGGATAAATGGGTTTTTTCTTACCAAAAAAACCAGAAATGGCAGGCACCCACCCTTATTGGAGAGTGTGTTGTTTTGTGTGCATTTTGTGCATATGAGAGGGGGGGGGGGAATGAGAGCGCTTTACGGTGTGTGATTGGGGTGGACAACATCCACTCTGGAATTATGCTATAATATAATGATAACATCCCCGCTAATTTTACTTATGGTTTTATAATTGTAAAAATAAGTGTCAACAGCATATGTTTTAAGTTAAGTCATGGTTAAGACATATTGGGCCTCATTGCCCGTCACATCCAGTAAAAATTAAAATGCACCTTTAAAAAGGGTAAGGTATTATTTTTCAATATAATTTTAAATTCATATAAGTGTTTTTTACTAAAAAAAACCTAGTATTTTGACAATTAAATTTTTAAAAAAAAAATGAAATGGAATAAATATTTAATTTTTTTAAAAGATATTTTTTAACATGCCCATAAAAAGATAAATTGACTTTTAATTTTTAATTTTTTTTTTTGAAGGCACTGCAAATTTTGAAACATCCCAAACTGCAATGACTTTTTTAATACTCTATTTTCCCATTGTTTACTTTGTTCTACATCTAACATAATTACTGCATTATAAATAGTTGAATTGCTTTGAAAAATGATATCAGAGAATAATAAATACTTTACAAAGACAATTTTTTAAAATTAAATGTTAATCTTTCTTTATAAAACATCACTCAATTGCATAAGGGTAATAGTTTTTCATTTAAAGAATTACAGACAAAAAAAAAAAGAAATAAACAAATGCATCTTTGACGTAGTCATTACATTATGCTAACATATAAACAAACCAACCTCTTCATAACAATAATCAGGGGTGTTTACAAACAAGGAGTCGATCACGACTTCAGAATCCAGGGTAGAATAGAATGCTACAATCCTCATACTGGGTGTGACCTCAGGGTATAGGCGATAGGGTAGGTGTACAGTGGTGCGCCCATCTGCATTTCGGTTAATATTTTTGGCTGTGAAGATCACATGGCCTTTAGACAAGATCTGCAGTAACAAGGATGAAATAAAAAAAATAGAGGGTAACTTCTGAAGAATGAAATCAGTTACAAATATTTATTTGTTAAGTTATAAACTGTATATAGCCTATAGAGTTTTATTTTTATTGTGATAGATATAAATGGGATTCGTATACATTAAAATTTTAATATAAAATGTTAACTTACAGTGATTGTGATTTTGTCTTTGACTGGTCCTGTGGGTGCCGTGTACCTCAGTAAGATGATCCCATCTTTTCTTTTCTAGGACAGACAAAACTATTAAACCAACATGCACTCAATGTAGATTTCATGTTGCCCCTAGGGGCATGTGTAATTAAATCTAAGTTGCAGGGATTGGTGACCTACTTGTGAGGGATCAATTTTAAATCAGACAAACTGTTGATATTTGATGGATATCAGAGTTGAAAAATAACCAGTAAGTGTGAAAATAAATTTAGGCAAATGAGATCTTATTACTGAGTTGTGAGACACTAATTGTCAATGTCAATAAAACCAGTAAGAGAGAATTGAAACAGTTAAGTATTATTTACCTTGGCAGAAATTTTTTAATGTACTTTGAATAAAATTCTATTAACCATTAGTGGCTCTGGCGGAGAGATGTAAATTTGTTGAATAAAATAGTATTTACCGTTACTGGGGTTGGCAGAGAGATGTGAATGTATTCATTCCGGGGCGAAGGAAATCTGAGGGTGTTAAATTTGAACTCATTGTCTCCCATCCTCTGAAAATCTACAATTACAACCTGTTTACAGAGAAAAATTGGAAAACTGTTTGAGTAAATATTTATTATGTGTATTGTACTTAGGGAAAAAATGTACATCATACAATATACTGGCATAGGAAGACTCAAACCATTCCCCCCACCCACCCACCCCTACAGTTTTATAACAAAGTATTGTTATTGAATTAAAAAAAATATTATTTTTTAGGTTCTTTTACTTGATATTTTATTTTTTTTTAAATTCAAAGGTTTTGTAAAATATTTAAATTTTTTTTCCTCAAGTTAATATAATAATGCCTTCAATTGGCAATTCTTCCTATTTAAGGATTATCTCAGAGCAAAGTAGCTAGAATGATTCCGACACTAAATATAAAATACTCAAAATGCAACATTATCAGAATAATCTGATATGTTAAACTTACACTAAATTACTCTTGAAAGTATTAACTGGCAAGTTATTCTTACACTAAATTACTCTGAGAGCAATATCTGGCACGTTACCATGCCACCAAATTTCTGCAAGTTTAACTCACTTGAAATTCAACTCTGTAAGCATTAATTGGCATGTTAAATTCCCGCACAACAACACCAGACGCGTCAAGCTTTAGATGAATATGCCACCAAATTTCTGCAAGTTTAACTCACTTGAAATTCAACTCTGTAAGCATTAATTGGCATGTTAAATTCCCGCACAACAACACCAGACGCGTCAAGCTTTAGATGAATATGTCTGGTTTGGATATCTGAAATAGAAAAAAAAAACACAACTTTATCACATATAAAATGTATGTCATATGAGACAGGAGCTAAAAAACACATCATTCACTTTACACTGCCTGTGATTAAGTTATTGTTTAGAATAATAACTCAAAATTTTATTGCAGCTGGCACTGCTCAATATAACTTATCTATCAAGGATTAGCAACATTTTGGTATTATTGTGCCAAAGTGAGATTTCTAATTCATTCTGCCTTCCAACAACCTGTAGGTCCACGTTCATGCCTAAAAAATCATTTACTATTATTTTTTGTTTGTTTTCCGTAAGTCTTGAAAATCCCACACTGTGCTACATCTGTCATGTGTGCCATAGTTTGCTAACCACTATTTATGTAATATATACCTTCTAGGGGCACTCCATTATCATTAAAATATTTAGGTTTAAGTCCCAGCTCTACCCAAGAAGCTGGATGTCCACTCTGAGCATGGATGTTTATCTGGAAAAGAAAAGCCAAGAGTCAAAGAGACATAAGTCAACAAGAAAATATTTTGTGGAAATAAAAACAATTTTCTCCCCTGGCTAACATGTCCTAGTAAAACTGTTGGACAGTGGTGTTGTTTGTTGTAGTTGTCTAATTAGTTATCTGCTTTTACCGAGAGATACATGAGAACTTTCAGTACATTGGTGTTACATTTTTTGTTTTTCCTTCTTTTTGGCTTGCTGAGCCTGTCGCAGTGGCGGCTTGCAATCAGAGTCGCCTTCTCCTAGATGAGACCATCCAAGGTTGACGAGCCCCGTCTACCCCGAGTGACAGAGCTGATTTGTTTGTCTGGCTATCTAAAGATTAGGACTCCAGCCCACCATGTCAGCTTGTGATGTCCACACATTTGAATACAGTGCCAAAGAGTCACCCAATAATTGGTTTAAGAGTATTTTTGAAGTGTTAACAAGGGGAAAAATTTTTATTCACAAGAAAATTATGTGATTATATTTCCAAAGCTTGTGCCTCCATTTTGTTCAGTATTTGGATAGTTTATTTCTGTGATAGAGGCTTTTAAAGAATAATCTCAAGTACCCAAGGAGAGCAAGGATTTAGGATCTGTAAAAAAAAAAAGAGTTTTTTTAGCAAAAATTACCTTAGCTAACATTTACCTGCAGTAAATAAGGAAAACCAGGTTTGAAGTGCTGTTTCGACGGCTTGAAATCCACAATGTAATATGGATGAGTAATGAATGTTGATGTATCTTCGATGGTAAACGTTTCCTGAGTGGCACTCTCTGTGACAACAACCTTCACATACAGACGATGATTCTGAGGAAAAGGTTCTGAGCGAGGAAATAGAGTTACTACCTTGACATGAGTCTTAAAAAATCCATTGGTCAGCTGGAAATGCAAGCAGAATATTTATATTAAGAGAAAGCAATGATTTTTTAAAATTGATAAATCATATTTTTCAGCACAAATAGAAAATAATTAATGCCATTGGACCTAAAAAGTGGACGGTCTGTCTACTTAAAAGATCTATAGTAAATATGGCAAAACTAATTTATAAAAATCATGATTCACATTACTGTTTGGCTGAGCAGAAATTGTTCAAATTCATTATTAGATCCAATAAAAAAAGAGCAAATGGATGAGATTTTATGTTTTTTACAGTTTTTATTGCCCATTATATTTTATAAACGTTTTAAATATGAAGTTTTTATATATCCAGATCCTAACTATGAAAGTGTCAGCTATGAAGGTGTAAAGCATGTAGATGCCGCAGGTGTTTTGTATGAATGTGTCAGTTAGGAAAGTGTAAGGTTTGATAATTGTGAGTTTTTTTAACCAACTCACCTTTCCACTGTAGACTGCTCCAGGTATTGGTCTAATGCCCTTGTCTTGGCTCCAAACTCCAAGTTGTATCTCAGCAGTGCCAAGCACTGGCTGTCCATAGACATATCTGTAACAAGTGTGCCATGAAATAAAATGATTGCTCAATAAAATGAGACCAGTAGGAACTTTCATTTAAGTACTTTGCATCTAGTCAAAAATTTCAGATTTGTAAGTTTTGTATAAGACTATTTAGGTGTTTTCCCTCTGCTCATACAAAGTAAAAATGTTCTACTTATTCAATCTGGCATCTTAATTTCAGCTCTTGTTTTAGGTAGGATAAGACTGAACCAGTCTGAAGCTTATTGCTGATTGGTCTATTAAAGATGAACATTGGTGTTTGTGGAAAAAGGGGTTTGACTGAATAACAGTTTAAAAAAAAATTAGTAATACAAAAAATGAATAAATATTGGCAAGTATAGTTTAATATATACACACATTATTAAAACAAAAAAAAAGATTCTTACTTGGCGGTAACATTAAGGGTTAACCATGGTGTCTCTCTACTAATGACATCAGTGTCGATTTGAAACTTGCCAGAAAATCTGGGCAGAACTTAGGAACAAAAATATCAAATGGAAATATTCATCTGACAGTGCACAAAAATATTAGGGTGGTTATCAAAAGAATACAAAACATCTCTTTGTTAGCTCACAAGACTTATCAGATTGAATGGTATTTGTGCAGCACTGTGTAGATATTTGTTGGGTCTTGTTTTGACAAAAGCATTACTCCCAAAAGTTCCACAGCAAAATTTATTTGTGTGACCATCTAACATCATTATGTTGATGATCAAAAAACTGAGAAAGTGAAAAAAAAAACTGAAAATATTTACTGTTTTTCTCTTTGAAATGAATTTACATTAAAATTATGATAACATGTCACAACATCTGAAACGTTGCTTATTATTCCACAAAATTTTATTTATGTAAATCTCTGAAATAATTCTGCATTCTAAATGAATCAATTAGATTTAAATAAATAGATTTATGCTTACCATATTCTCTGACCTCAAAGGAAACATTATAAGCCGCACTGAAAGAGTTGTCCTGTGGTTAGTAGTAACAAAAATAATATTGTGCCATTGGTAATGAACAATTTTAAATCAGTAAGCATGCTTTCACTCGAGGTTTCCCCACCTTTTCTATATTCTGCACCTCTAAGTCTTGTTTCACTAGGTCTGCACCCTCTTCTAAAGTAGCAAATGCATTTTTTAAATCGGAAAAAATAAATTTGATTTCTAATTTTTTAAATTGAATTAAAAAGGGAGCACACAAAAAAATTGCATCAAGTATAAAATAAAAACATTAAGATATTAAAATTTATATCATAAAGTTCTCAATTTTTATACTGATGCTTCTTCACCTACCCTGAAATACAAAAATCACAACGCCTGAAATACCATGTCTCCACCCTCCTTCACAAAATACCACCTCACAACCCTTGATATACCATGCCCCCCCACCCAAAATACAACCTCACAGCCCTGATATGCCACTTTGAACCCCCTGAAATACCCCCTTGCACCCCCTGGAATATCACCTTTTCCACCAAAATACCACTGTGCCACCACCCCTGAAATGCCACCTCTCACCCCAAGGTGCAAGTATCCCAAGTTAGCACTCTGCTCTTTAACATCATGTCTTATTTACATAATTTGACATGTTTAACACTAATATATTTATTTATTTATTAAAAGTTATTTGGCCAAAAATACATTAGGGTTTTGTGATTGGTTGTCATATTTGGTTTTAAGCAATAAATTTCTGTATTGTAAAATATACACCGATAACTAAATAATTTGATCAAACCAGTTCTTACCAGTCCTTCAAAGTTGGCAAATATGTGCCATATTCCGGGAGGTGTGTCTTTGGGTAGTTCAAAATCTTGACTTTTGAAAGCTTCATCAGCTGAGTACCTCAGTCTGTCCACTGTCACATTTTGACTGTTCTGTTTCAAAGTGTAGAAAAGAACTGATGTAATGAAACATGGTTGAGGTTCATATTTCTTCTTATATTCGAGGTGCCCACGATCAATTTGTTGATCATTCTGGCTCCTAGTTTTAAATTCAGAGTTTGCCTTCTCTTAGACAGGTTGCCGTCCAAGGCTAACGAGTCCCATCCACCCGGGTTGCTTGGGATGGCTTTGGTGGGGATTGAACTCCAGACCACCAGCTATTTCGTTTGAGACAGTTTAGACCGCTCGGCCACCCAGCAACTTAAGGACTTAATAATTAAAGCAATCTAAAAATTAACTATTTGACACCTTAAAATATGAAACTTATTAACTGACACTTTAAAATATGAAGCTTAATTGACAATTATTAGCAATATGAAACATATCAATTTTGTCACTAAAATATTTCAGTGGTCAGTGGTGACAAGTTTTAAAATTGTGTTTAACATCTTAACTAACCCGTATGTCAACTTTAAGATGATATTTTGACAGCTTTTGATACTCATCCACAGCTATGACCCGGAACTTGACTGAAATAATGTGAAGTCTATTTTAATTTTTTTTTTAAACCAAAAAAAAACAACAGAATAAAAGATTGATCACTATTTAATTATTTGTCATCTTAAAAGCTTTATCATAATTTAATTATGTGTTATCTTATAAGCTTTATCATTATTTAAGTATTTTTCATCTTAAATTTTAACATTGATTACAGTACTTCATTTAACCCACCAAACAATGGAGGAGGTAATGGGCAAACTTCCCATTTACTAAGATTACTTGACAAAAATACATTCAAGTAACACACTGCATAAGATCCCCAATTAGTGCTGACTTCTGGGAACTTTATTTGGCGCACCTATCAAACACATACATGCCTTGAGAGTTATTATTTGTGATTTCAGACAATGATTACCAGTCTGCCGTGGTGTGTAGATGGGTTTGTCTGTCTGGATAAAGATGTAGCCCGATGACTGTCGGAATTTGAGAGTTATCTTCTCTTCTACTGAGTTACTCGTCATGAACAGCACAACTCCGGTCTCGTGCAGCTCCTGCATGCGCTCCCAGGGGAAGACTACCACCCAAGTCTGGGCTTCATCTGTTTCCCAATACAAAGAAATTAGCTGATATAAAATTTCATAGCACATAGAAATTAGCTGGTACAGAAATTCACAAAACATAAATTAGCTGGTTCAGAAGTACACAGCACATAGAAATAAATAATGTGTTGTAGAAGAAAGTTGAATAAACAAAATAGAAAAGTTGAAAGTATTTTAGTTCCATAATAAATCTAAGAGTCATAATTAATCTACATGAGTCTTATGCAGAGGCGTCACTAGGGTTGGTGTCACCCAGTGCGGTAAACTCATGGTGTCACTCCCTCTCTGGACCCTCCCTGGACCTGCACTGAGTAATTCTTAACCAGATCATAAGAAAACACTTAAAGCGTTGCTTGTAATTTAATTCCTAAAGCAATAAAATACATAAGAAGAAGACATAGAATTTGATGTGACAGCATTTTTTAAAAATGCAAAAAAAGCCCTTTTTATTGAACCATTTAAACTTTTCAATTAAAACTTTCCTTGCCTGACCTTCACAGATGCAAACCTGTCAATCACTTCATCAATATCACAATTCTTCACCTTTTCCCTGCCAATCTGTCAATTAAAAAAATTGCATGACCAGAAAGCCTGAACTGTCCATGGTAGATTGCTAATAGTCCTTCATGAGTTTCATTACTAAAAAGCTCCTCTCACAAGAAGTCACAGACACACAGAATAATTGAAGGCTTCATGAGAGAATTGGGAGAGATTTTAGGAAGTCCCATTCAGCTATGCATTTCAAAACTTCAAATACTGACCAATCTTTGGCTTCACCACAATGAATATCTGCTTCTTTCAGGTGCCTTTGCTGCCTTGATATTTCAATTAAAAGTTCAATTTCAGTGGTCAGTTCAGGGATGGACACCAGTAGCTCTTCTTCAGTCACCAATAGCAGAATCTTACCTTGAACAGCCTTAAACATTTCTCTTACTTCCATCACATATCTCTGTGATCTGATCTGGGGCTCAGAAGGATAATTATCAATGCGCCATCTTGTTTTTCTTCTGGCAATGTGAGTCTGGTGTCTCTTGTTAGCTCCCCTGGCATAGCTCCACCTCTTCCAGACTTCCCTTACTGGGCCTCATCCGAGTCTTCTGCTCTGGCAACACCCTGCTCTTATCAAATCCTGCTCAGTTAGCATCCTGCTTTGTCTGCTGACACCCTATTCTGGTGGCAACCTGCTGTAGTTCCAACCTGATTTGCTGACACCCTTTTTATAAATTGTATTTAACTGAATTCTGTTATAAACCCAATGGATTGAACTCTGTCAAATTTGCAATTTTTTTATTTGGCTTTATCCCCTGGGAGGCACCTTCGCATCCCCCTAGTGACACCCCTGGTCTTACGTGTTTAAGTTGATTATCTAACTACTTCAAATCAAATGTGTTTAAATTGTTAACATACATGAATCAAATGTGTTTAAATTATTAACATACATGAATCAAATGTGTTTAAATTGTTAACATACATGAATCAAATGTGTTTAAATTGTTAACATACATGAATCAAATGTGTTTAAATTGTTAACATACATGAATCAAATGTGTTTAAGTTGTTAACATACATGAATCACATGTGTTTAAATTGTTTACATACATAAATCAAATGTGTTTAAATTGTTAACATACATGAATCACATGTGTTTTAATGCTTAAATATAAGAATCAAATGTATTTAAATTGTCAACATACATGAATCACATGTGTTTTAATGTTGACATATATGAATCAAATGTGTCTAAATTGTTTACATACATGAATGAAACGTTAGTGTTGTAGAGTTCAATTCTTTGCTCTTATCTATTGACCCTCTGTAAGACAGGTGTACTGTTTCCGACTGTTGAGTGAGCACCAGTGGTGTGACTGTAGCGGTCAAGTTGGCATCATAGTAAGGCTCCTTAGGAACTGTCAGAAGAAACTTGCTTCTGGAGATTGTAGGCATGTCATTGGCATCAAACGTAATGTTATTGGTAGGCAAGTTATGGGTATCAAATGTAATGTTATTGTTAGGAAACTCATTGGTATCAATTGTAAATGTTATTGTTAGAAAAGTCATTGGTATCAAATGCAATGTTATTGTTAGGAAAGTCATTGGTATCAAATGTAATGTTATTGTTCAGGTGAGAGAATCTCAACATTAAAAAATATCTTTGACTTTTTTTCTTTTTTTTTTTTTTTTTTTTTTTTTTTTACAAAAGTTTTACCAGGCTAAAAAATGAAAAATGTCAAATTTAAATATAAAAATTATGATGCAGATAAAATGGGGCTATGTAACTATTTATTTCAACAATGTTTACCTGGGCGCCCTCAATGTGATTTGACTTGTGATCCAAGGCCATCTTTATAGTAGCTTTGGCCATGGGCACCGTTAAGCTCTGAGGCCCTTAACTCATTATATAATCAGGGTCATACTAAGGGGGAGGCTAGAGGGCCAATCACCCCTGGCGCCAATATCAGGGGGTGTAAAAATCCTCCCTAGATAGGCCCTAACAAGTGAATTAAATATAAAATGTTATGTACTTCACATAGATAGAGGCGGCAAAATCGTCTTACTAGTGCGAAAATGGGCACTACTTTTCCTTGTAACTGCTGTCTATAACCTAATATTCAAGTTATAATGTTATGAAAAGCATTATGGCCTAGATTGGCCTATGTGTTTTGACCATCTATCAGCACCGAAATTAGGAATTTTAACGCCAGGGCCAGCACTGACTTCATAGCCACCCACCCTACATAACCAAAAAAAATTTTTGGTATTGGAGCCCCCTGATGGTATACTTTTAGCCCAGGTTTAGTTTCATCCCTAGAATCTTCATAGTCCAACTACGTATAAAACTAAAGGAAAATCATAATTTTGTCAGTTCAAAACAAACATTGCATTTACTTACATTTACATCCATTGATTTGTTTTAAAGATTAAAATGTCTCGGAACTGTTACTTTAATTTGCAAGGAGAAGAGATCAAGGGCTCCAAAGAAAGTGGAGGTAAGTTTTGGAGAAAGCCCCTCAGCAGAAATTTTTTAAAACATTCAAAATTATAGGATGCAATTTTGCGCATACATGAATTTAATTTTGCATTCTTCTACACTTAACCAGCTAGCAACAGAAAATACCTATCTGGAAATTTGATCTAAAGAAATTTCGTCAACGGTAAAATGATCGACGGTAATTTGATCGAACCGAAATTTAGTCGAATTGTTTTTCCAGCTCTTATGTTAAAATTTTGCTTCAATTTTCTTTTTGAACGCATTATTTTGTTTTACTATACAGTAGGCCTATAGTGTGTTCAAAAAGAAATTTGACGAAAATTTTAACGTGTGAACTGAAAAAAACTATTCGACCAAATTCCCATTCGATCAAATTTCCAAAATTTTCTAAAGCTAGAACCAAAAATTTGAAATGATGTGAATGTGAGACTCGAAAAACGTGCTTGACTTAAAATACTTAAATAAACTGGAGAAACTGTCTTGTCGCTTTCATTTTGAAAGCAAAATAAATTACCACAATATTTTAATATTCACCAATAACCACTAATAATCTTGACAGCATAATGCCCATAGAAGTGTGAGGCACCCTAGAGTGGCGTTAGTTACCCTAGAGCCCTAGAGGCGTGATCAGTGATGCCCCCTAGACGAGAGGAATGAGGCCCCCCCCCCTCGAGCATGACCCCGGGCAAGTGCGCCCATGCTTTAAGACGATACTGATTTCCTCCACTAATTGCACTATTGAACGGAGTGCGGAGCAGTGGCATAGCTAGAGTTATTACCGCCCGGGGCCAACATCTTCGTCTAACATGATTGTTAACACAAATACTTCCTTCATGATTATTTTCCATTCATATCTAGCAGAAGTAAACTTGTTGGCGAGAGTTATTCCCCTTTGAGAAAAAAATCCAATTTGTTATTCGCATTTATAATATTAATTTTGAATGTGCCAATAATATCGTTGGTTGAAATTGAGAAACGTGCTGTCCACAGACTTTTAAATCAAATTCAATTGAAAACATCTTTCAATATTCATTAACAATATGTAAAGCATGATTCCTCAAAAAGAGTGAGTCTCATGTGGCCCCCTAGATGCGCGAGGTCTTGGGCCAGTGCGTGGTGGTGTGGGCCTATGATGGGTCTATGCCTTAAGACAGCGATGGAAATGAAGGTTTGGAAATTGTAATTGATTGAGAAAGACAATTCTGAAATTAAGTTTAGTGTTTCTAGCTATCCATAATATATTGTTTGGTTGTTTCTCAAACAGTGGAGCATGGTTCTTAACAGAGACAATGGTCAACTATTTGATTCTCAAATTTCTGACACTGCAGTCATTCTCTATAGTTTGTAAACAGGGGGGAAGTATAATGTCGTTGCATGTTTACCAACTTGTGGGCGATTTTTTCCATCAGGTTCACGACCTAAAAAATTATTTTTAGGAATTTTATTTAAAACAAGAAGGATTCCTGCAGTTTTATGTGCAGGCAAATGAGAAGTGCAAAAATTTGGGTGAAAATTAGAATGCACTCAAATATAGGTTTCATAAGGCTGCGATGATAGAACTCTCATAGTTGCAGAGCAGTGGCATAGCTAGAGTTATTAATCAAAGATGGCGGTGGAACATGAATTGGAAAAGCTTTCAACGGGAGAATGCTTTTTAAAGAAAGAGATGTTACACACGGTTTATTATTTCAGTTATCTGCTCACCCTGCGCTCAGTTCAAATAACAGGGTCAAGGTCATCATCACCAGGCACAGGCCTGGCACCGTTTTCTGCGTTCTCATTTTATACACTGCCGTTAAATTAAATAGCTGCTCCTGTCTTGTTTTATGCTGGTGTGTCTGAAACATATTATAGAAAAATATTACAAAATTTTGATAGTGCTTGTTTTTATCCACGTAAAATAACTTTAAGAGGAGAACGTGACGAATAGACTACCTGTAGTGTTTACCACATGATAATGCTACCTACTGTAGTATTTACCACACACAATATTGACAATAATGCTACCTGTAGTTTTTACAAAACAATAATTCAACCTGTAGTGTTACCATACACTACTGCTACCTGTGGTGGTTACCGCACAATAATGCTACCTGTAGTGTTTACAAAACAATAATGCTACCTGTAGTGTTTACCACACAATATAATATTGTAGACAATATGGAAAAGCAAAATAATTGCTTCATTCAGAGACACTGGTAACATTTGCAAATTTTCTTGAAAGGTGTGACACAACTATTTTAAAACTACTCTACATTTAAGTGTGGGATCTAGTATTAGAGTGCAGCGTATTAAACTAGCGTTGGGCCTGGTCAGTAAAATTCAAAGCAACAAAAGGTGAAAACACTTAAACGGCGACATTGAATATAGTTGTTATTTCCTTTAATGGTGAGTGGCTGCGGACAGGAATTAGCAAACAAAACCAAACATAAGGTCCCTAAAATATGCAAGCAGTGATTACTGCTTCACGTCAAAATTGTATGGATACAATGGAAAGATGGGGCTTTTTAAAACCGCAGTCTGGGTAGAAAAATACTAGCATGCTTCAATAGATGTGACATTTGATATTTATCCATAGGTCTGGGAAAACATAGGGGACTCGTACAATGTTGTGGGAGAGAGGTTTGGGAAAAAAAAATTGTACAGAGATGAAATGTACAACAGTGTGGGAGAGAGTAGGGTACATAATGAAATGTAAAAATGTGTTGGATCGAGGTGTACATACTTAAACTGCAATGTACAACTTGTGTCGAAGATGTGTACAACTGTCTACGCAGTGAGGGGTACAGACATGAAATATACAACTGTGCGGGAGGGGTACAAACATAAAACGTACATCAGTGTGAGAGGGTACAAACATGAAGTGTGCAACTGTACGAAAGACGGGTATAAACACGACATGTACAACTGCGTGTGATTGATAGAGACATAAAAATGAATAACTGTGTGGCAGGGGTACAGACATTTGAATATCTTTAGGTCAATGGCTCGGTACGTTTGTTTGAATCCAATTACAGTGGCATTAAGTCCCATTGTTTGTTTGACACAGGAAGTTGGCATTACAGCATTCAGGCAGGGACAGTGTTGCACCAGCCGTGCTGATCAGAGTTCATAGTGTACATTGCTGCATGAATACTAAACTAGGCCAGGGCGCGTCAGTATACAGCTAGAATGGTTAGTAACAAACTTAAGGTTCACTTGGAATCAGCATATACATTTGGGGTAACATCAAGGGATCAGTTTATAAATTATGTGAGATAACAAAACGGATCAGTTTATAAATGTGGGGTAACATCAAAAGATCATTTTATGAATGTGGGATAACAAAAGGGATCAGTTTATAATATGTGATAACAAAAGGGATAAGTTTATAAATGTTGGATAACAAAAAGGGATCAGTTTATAAATGTGGGGTATCAACTTATAAACGTGATCTCACACACACACACACACTGGCTATAGGTCAACAAGTGAAAACATCCTGTCACAATCAAGTGTCCATGAACACGGCTAAAAATTTCATGTAAGTCACGCGGTAGTCTTGACTTAGGCCACTTATACATTCGTAATCGAATACCGCACGATAGATAACTCTCAGCATTAGTGGAGGGATTGACGTCACAACTCTCCTTTCTGTTTGAAAAGTTATCGTCACTCTGACCTTATTTAGTTTTATGCGCGTTTTGTTTATTCAAGGGAATTAAACATACGAAACAAATGTCCTAAAGCGCCCTTGCTGGAGGAGAATAGACATAGTCATATACACAATAAATATAAAATACATACACAATGAATATAACAATATATATGACTTGTGGTGTAAACGAATGGCCATATGATGATGTGACCAAATGGCCGTGTGATGATGCCACCAAATCACTGTCTGATGATGTGACCAAATGGCCATGTGATGATGTCATCAAATCACCTTGTGTTGATGTGACCAAATGACCGTGATGATGTGACCAAATGGCCGTGTGATGATGTGACCAAATGGCCGTGTGATGATGTGACCAAATGGCCGTGTGATGATGTGACCAAATGGCCGTGTAATTATGCCACCAAATCACTGTGTGATGATGTGACCAAATGGCCGTGTGATGATGTGACCAAATCACTGTGTGATGATGTGACCAAATCACTGTGTGATGATGTGACCAAATGGCCGTGTGATGATGTGATCAAATGGCCGTGAGATCATGTGACCAAATGGCCATGAGATGATGTGACCAAATGGTCATGTGATGATGTGACCAAATGGCCGTGAGATGATGTGACCAAATGGTCATGTGATGATGTGACCAAATGGTCATGTGATGATGTTACCTAATGGTCGTGTGATGATGTGACCAAATGGTCGTGTGATGATGTGACCAAATGGTCATGTGATGATGTTACCAAATGGTCGTGTGATGATGTGACCAAATTGTCGCGTGATGATGTGAGCAAATAGTCGTATGATAATGTGATCAAATAGTTGTGTAATAAGACCCCGTGGAAGTGATTTATAACATGGGACAGGACAAGACTTACCCCAAAGCTTGTCTCGTAATCCTAATCCTTAGAATTATTCCAAAGAAGACATTACACTTCAGGCAACTCAATCCAGGGCGGCTCTCACAATTGAATTATTAACTTAGTCTGGCTGTACGTTGCTCAGAGTAATTTAACTTTGTTACATAGTTGTGCCTATGTTCTAATATGCATCAAATGATGAGAAATACTCGTCTCTCGTCTGTACGGGTAAGCCGAACCCGTCCCTTAAGCACTGCTTTGAAACTCAAGCCACTAATGAAACACTAAAGACGTCATGGGTTTACGCTTTTTAAAGTCCACAAACAACAATGATATTATTCCGCGTATGTACTAGGCACTGGTGTCAAATAGATGCTACTAATAATCAGCGCATCAAACACATCTAGTATCTAGTCCAGCTTATCTGAATTGGCGCAGTTCTGTGAGGTTCGCGTCAGAGAAGACTGCAGTGTTTACTAACAAACTGATGGTACATGCGCGCGTTTTTTTTAACATCTCTCCCTCTCTCTCTCCCTCTCTCTCTTTCTCGTGGTTCTAGCCTCACGTGTGCACTGGGCAGTATCGAATACTATGTAAAGCTGTTTTAAATCTACACTGGGCCAGTTTCCGGAGGCTGGCTGCTTATTAACGCTCACATATAGGGAGTGGGGACAAGTGAATTTCTTCCCAAACAGTCGTAGGGTAAAAAACAAATAAGGGGGTTGGGGGGGGGGGGGAGTTGGATGAGGGAAAAGTGGCGCCGCTCCTTCTTTCACTGGTTGAGAAAATATGACGTCACTTTTCAAAGAAAGACCATCTCAATATTGCGTTTTTATTTTTAATCTTTAAAAAAAATAAAATTAAGCGCAAGTCTTCTCACCAAGCGACAAGAAAACGCGTCATGAGATTCGAACTGAGTGGGTGAATCACTCTACACGTGGAGATATCACGTCTGTCCTCAGAACATTTGGAAATAAAGAGGGAGAAAGGAAAGAGACGTGGGAGACAGTCAACGTGAGAGAGAGATAAAGACAAAGAGAGACGCAGAGAGAGAGAGAGAGAGAGAGAAGGAGAAGAAAAGAGAGAAAGTGTGTGGGTAAGAGAGACCAAACAATAGAGGGAGGCTTATCGTGAGAAAGAAAGAGTCGGAGATACAGAGAGAAAGAGAGAGAAGTTGAGAGACACACACACACAGAGAGAGAGAGAGAGAGAGAGAGAGAGAGAGGCGAAAAGACAAATATGATAAAATGTTTTTGGTGGCAGTTGCGCATTTTGGCTTCATGGCGCCAGGGGCGAACCCTCAAAAGTACACCCCTGACACATATACAATTTATTTCATGATGTATATTATTACGGTGACCAGACGTCCGGGTTTACCGGGACAGTCCCTATTTTCGTAAACACCGGTCCCAGCGTCCCGGAAAGGACAGTAAATGTCTCGGCCTGTGGTGTTTTCCGACGAACTGTGTACATTTCCTTAAGCATGGACAAATCCTCTCACTGTAAGAATCTTTTCTCTACACAGGTACAAATGCTCCCACAGTAAGAGTCTTTCCCCTACACAGGGACAAATGCTCCCACTGTAAGAGTCTTTCCCCTACACAGGGACAAATGCTCCCACAGTAAGAGTCGTTCCCCTACACAGGGACAAATGCTCCCACAGTAAGAGTCGTTCCCCTACACAGGGACAAAAGCTCCCACAGTAAGAGTCTTTCCCCTACACAGGGACAAATGCTCCCACAGTAAGAGTCTTTCCCCTACACAGGGACAAATGCGCCCACAGTAAGAGCCTTTCCCCTACACAGGGACAAATGCTCCCACTTTAAGAGACTTTTTTAATGAGTAAAATAACATATATGGATAAATCGTAGCTGAGAGTCGCTACATTTGATACACAAGCTGGTTGTCAAACACAATGTCAGTGATTCATGTGATAAGTATTTTTTTTAATGTTATTTGGAGAGAAAAAAAAAGTCCTGCGAGCTATCCACTCATCTCAGAATTATGAGTGTGTCATGAATATGAAAAAGAATCGATACAATTCACTTTGCTGATCCTTCATATTTCTGACGTGCTTCAGTCATGTCAATGTATTACACAGTTTGTTATTTTTTAAACAACATGCCGTTTTTTTAGCAGTTAGATTACTCGATGACAAAAATGGTGTCCCTTTTAGAAACGTTGGGGAAAAAGGGAGATGATCCATCTCAGATTCAGAAAGTTTCAATGCATTCCCCCCACAAACACTCCTGGTACTTTTTGTCTATACTTGATTGTTCACAAATGTATCACCTGCTTACTCTTGAAGAACGCAGCGTAACGTTTCGCTACGTCCATGGCATAACACACAGCACTGGTCTACATACACCATGTACACTAATGAATGTGGACGTCCATAGCATACAGTACTGGTATACATATGCAATGTGTACACTAATGAAGTTCTTCTGCTGCCCTTCAAGAAAGCCCGTCTTTTCAGCAAATTTTCACCAACCATTTTTGGCTTGCCCCGCTCCCTCCCCAAATCCCCGGGTCTCAGGTTACCCGCCACCCCCCCCCCTCCAAAAGCTCTGGTCACCGTATGTCTATAAACCCCAAAAGTGACGCTGAAGTATTTCGCCCCCTCCTCACACCCCACCTCCCACTTTTGTCCAGAGCACTAATGATTCCCAGCACCCGGTTTTGCTGGTCTCAGACGACCTATTTCATTGTGGCACAACCCCCCCCCTCTCCCCTCTGAAGAAGTTACTCGCCAATGTCATTGAAGTAAATGGTTGGTAAATGTTAAGGGGTGGGGGGGGGGGGGGCTGACGGTAGGGTTAAATGTCAAGGTCTTGTCAAGTTGTTCGCAGGAGTCACCCCGACAAGGGCAGGTTTTAGAGGGGGGGACCCCCTCTCCCCTCTGAAGAAGTTACTCGCCAATGTCATTGAAGTAAATGGTTGGTAAATGTTAAGGGGTGGGGGGGGGGGGAGCTGACGGTAGAGTTAAATGTCAAGGTCTTGTCAAGTTGTTCGCAGGAGTCACCCCGACAATGGCATGTTTTAGAGAGAGGGAAGGGGAGGGGAGTCACGTGAGTATGACGTCACCAACGACTTTCTCACGATATTATGTGTGTTGATTATGTGTCATTATGTACATGGACGTGGCGGCCTTGTTAATTTTGAAACACCGCTATTTGAGTTTTTAATGTAGACTGTTTGTATAGTGTCGCAATTAGGTCCACTCAAAAAAAGTTTCAGATATCACCAGACCTTTAGATGCCCGAAGCCAGTGGTCGGCAAGCACATGAGTCAAAAGAGCCACAAATCAGCAACAGGACGGTTAAAAATTTGGTTGGGAGCCAAATTTCTTTTGAAGAAACTGTCAAGAGCCATGTTGTTTCGGAATCAAAGCGGATTTGTGGCCGACTGGCCGAGCCGCACTCAGTTCGCTAAAGAGCCACATGCACTTCACGATAGGGTGCCCCCCCCCCCCCCCCCCCCGTTAGGTTTAACTCAATTTTAAAAATTTTTTTTTTTTTTTTTTTGCCGTCCACCTTTTTATTTTAAAAAAATGGCCACCTCTCCATATGAATGAAAAGTAAGTAAAACCTACTAAAAATGTATCAACAATCAAACCTAGAGGGCGTTATAAAAATGACCCTGTACCACGCCCCCCCCCCACCCCCGACGGGTGGTAGGGACACAAATTTGGTCAACCATCAATTTAAACAAAAATTATTCATAATAAATAATTATTCCTCCCATGTGGATGTAGTTAGTTTAAGGTACAGTTACTAAGCTTAAATAAGTAGGTCAGTGAAAATGAATTGGGACATCCAAAAAAAAAAATATATATATTTTTTAAAAAATCCACACTTAAAAAAGGTTTAGGATCCGATAAACGTCATCAAGTTCTGAGCATGAAATCAGGTTCTACTTGATGTACACTTCATGATTCACTAAAACCCCACACACGTGCGTTTTTTTTTTATATTAAAATATTGTGTTATTATTTTGCCCACATACAATGGCATCTTTGATATCGATACCCGTAAGGTATCGCCACCTTGGTTTCCTTATGGTGAGCAGCTGATTACAAGAACTATCCCACTTCAGTTGGCTTAAATAACCAGTGCTATATGCCAGCGTTTATTTTGTAATTTCTTTTGTATAATATAATGAAAGTGAACACGAGTACAGATATTGCCAAGAAGGAGCACTACTAAGACGCAATTTTACACTCTCGCTGGTAATATTTCTATGTGACGTAGAGCTAAGTGCTATTTTATTCTCCTGATAACTAAATTATGTCCCATTTTGAAACGGGTGGTAGCAGTAATCTCGAATTTCTACGTTTTAACGGTTGCGAAATGCAGAGTGAATGCTCATTTCCTCTCTTTAAAAAAAAAAAAAAACGAAAACAAAAATAAAAGGGCGAAACCGGATGATCCATAAAATATTTTAGGGAACTAATGTGGAGTGCCAGTGTCAGAATCAACATCTACAACTTCATCACCATTTACCAACAAATGTAATCTGGTTAGACCTCGAAACAGACCATTAGATCGACTAGTCGAACACTGTAACCTCCACGTGGCGCAGAGAGCTGTTTGCGAGGTTTCTCCCACCTCCCGTCATTTCATGCCATCTCAAAGCACCGGGACGGGCGGTAGGATACACCGAAAGGCGCCCCCCCCCCACACCTTCAACCCGCCCCCCTGCACCGGGTTGCACGTCCGGGGTATGAGAGTGTGCCGAAGAACATCCGGACCCAGTTGGTGCCAGTAATAAAACAACCACGTTTCTGTTAGATCCTGTACAAGGTGATCACCCACGTAATTTTAACTCAGCTTCTCAAGCCTGCGGGTCGTGATCCCCTCGGGGGTCGCTTGTCAATATGCCTGGGGTCGCTTGAGCACTCTGGATATTTCAGTTTTTGGGTAGCTTTCACAGATATTTTTACATTATTTTTGTTACACATTAGATACACTCAATATTCCCGATTGATTTTTATTTTGAAATTATCTCTTTTTAAGAATACACATGTATACATATTTAATATATATATATATATATATATATATATATATATATATATATATATTGATTAAAATCAAAACACACATAAAAAATAAAATAAAAGAATAGAAAAGAAAAATATAATAATTTAAAAAATAAAAAAATATAAATATAATAAAAAATAATGCTCTTTCTATCTATACACTCAATATTCCCGATTGATTTTTATTTTTAAATTATCTCTTTTTAAGAATACACATGTATACATATTTAATATATATATATATATATATATATATATATATATATATACATTGATTGAAGTCCAAACCCACTTAAAAAATAAAATTAAAGAATTGAAAAGAAAATTATAATAATTTTAATAATAAATAAATATAATTATAATAATAAATAAATATAATAATTATAATAATAAATAAATAACCCTTGGCTTAAAAACAAAGGTGTTCGCACAAATCCATTTTATGCATTTTTGTGCGGGTGGAGTTTAAAATTTGATATAATGTCGTTGCCATACACCAAGAC